GTTGTAAAACTCATATATTAACGTCGCATAAAGATTTAAGTACATACCTAGGTAGCTTAGTTTATGTATTTTAAATTAAAATAATATTACCGCTTTATTTATTTTTGTTTACGCATAATATGAAAAGTGTATGCATTTTATATAAGATAAAGATAATCGGATTTGCTAGTTGTATATTAACTATTAGACATTTTTGTTAAAAACTATTTAAACATGTTTTTACCGAAACAATATTTTATTTCCGAGAATATTTATTTTATGTCGTGCTTTAGTAGTTTGTTTTCAAAATATCTACAGCGTGTTGTGAAATCTACTATATAATAGTACTCTGGCGCCTAGAATTTTACCAATCTGGACATTTACATTTATTTCTAATTAAAATAAATTACGCTTTTATTAAAAAGTAGCCCCGTATACTTTAATAAACGCATCGTTCTCATCTTCTACAAATTTTACACAACTATTTTAACACTCACAATGTGTTAATTTATTACAACACTATTCGAAGGGTTATTTGCTATTAAATATGGCGTATTATAAAGATAAAGTTCCTGAAATACTGGCGAAATACCTGAATTAAAGTGAAAAACTGAAATATAATGAGGTGGTTAAAATTATATTATAATAATTGAAAAACTAATGTAATAGGTACTTATAAATTATGTGAATTTTTGATATAATTCTAAAGTGAATTTGCAAAACCTGAAGTTCGGAACCTACTTAACTTTTCTACAACCATGTATTTATTCAACTACATAAATAGGTACAAAACAAAATAACTTTCTTAAAGATTACGTTAAAAACAGCATCTTAAAATGAATTTTCAAATATTAGATCGAAAATGTGTTTACCTTGAAGGATTATGAGGTGTTTATAATAAATATTATGTCTTTAAACGTTTGATTCATAGTGTTTAACTTTTAATTTTTAAATATTATTTGTCTCTTGTATTTCTAATCATTAAAGATAATTATCAAGTACATTCATGTAATACTACCTAGTATATTACTGATATAGCAATACTAGACTACCTAAAGTTGAAAGTTTCAGTAAATTAAAAATATAGCTGAAATATTAATAACATCTATAACTAAACTTAATAGTAATAAGTAAAATGGGGTATAATTAAAAAAATGTATATATGAAAAATATAAATTATACATTTATGAAACAATCTATAGAGGTACCTCTGAAAAACTGAAAAACTTTTGAAGACTTTTTTTTACCTTTCCACATAAAATGTCTTGAATATACCTGTATATACTTAATATATTTTTTTTATATGTATATTACATAATAAACAATGAAGTTATTAAATTACTGTTCGACTTTTGTTTAATATTTTTAATTAAAAAGCTCAACAAAATATTTCAACGCACAAAAAATAAAAACCATGTTTGAAAACCACCGTTCCACGTTTCGGCTTGATCAAGAAGTTTAATGAGAATAAAATAACACATACTCAACATAACTAAATACTAAATAACACATAACTCTAGAAGTTTTATTCCTCAAGAGTACCATACTCGTAGATAGATATTTATTTAACTTTTAATTTTAACAATAAAATTTTACGTGAAAAACTGTCTGTTTATGCCGAGGTTCGCATCCATCTTCTTTCGCAAGCGAAATCGACCCTTATCCACCGAACCAAACCAAACCAAACCAAACCAAACCGACTACGGTAGCGCCCTCTCTTCGAGACCTCTTGAACCACAAGGCGATTTATATCACCGAAATCCGAAATCGAAAAATCCGAACAATTACTTTAAAAAAAACTGAAATCTGTCTCCATGACAACAATTTTTACTGTATAAAAATACTACCTTAGAATTTATCTTGTAATTGCCTTAGTATTTATCTCGATTTTTTTTCTAGCTATTTTTAAAATACCTTTCAGAAGAGATTTGTTCAGATAATGTGTTGGCTCACTACCTTTTCCTGTTATCTTCCGGAATCTGTAACTTGTAGGGGTGATATGACGCTTCTTTCCAGCACTGCATTTTTTCCGCTAATATTTTCGAGCACTAGAGCTAGCAGAATGATCCCTCCGGTTTTCTTTTCGCGCTTCGCCGATCCGACAACGGTATCCGAAATCCGAAGGGTACCCATATCTGAGACGACCGAAAAGATCCTCGAAACCGACGCGACGCGACGCCTTTACAAAACGATAGTCTCAAAGGTCAAAGTCAAGTCAATAGTCGTCAGTAAGTCAGAAATACGCCGTTACGGCCTAAGAACGCTGGATTAAACTCATCCCACTTCTGATGTAATCGAAATTATTATATATTTTATAGAAATTGTGATATTTTAATGTATTTAACAGAAATTATTATATTTTAAATCTAATCTAACTGATTTTTACAACAACTGATTTCCGACGCTCGAAAACCAACAAGTTCCGACATTCCATTCTTTTTTCTCCCGCCTACTCTTCACTCCGCTACTCCCAAACATTCGCCGGCACGGGATGCCAGGCACGGAGACGGCGTGACGTTGACTGCCTCCTCGCAAGGATCATAGGCGTCGATAACATGTAATACTGTATTATTCAAGAACTTTAGGTTTTTAACTTATTTTTTATATATTATGTATAAGGGCAAAAATAACATTATCAGTCTTAATTATTTTGTGTTTAATAAACGTAATGGGATAATTTTTTTTCTCATGTGATAAATTAGCGAGAAGCCCCGAATCTACTAGCAAAGAGCTACAAGGTAAACTAAAGGAACTTTTCATTTCAGAAAATTGATTGATTGAAAGAAATACTCATTATCGATTTCGAAAAACAACAAAATGTTGGCTGCCTTGCCATCCTTTAAAATACAATAACAATTAGGCTCTGTAATAAATAAATGATTTTTTGGTCCTTTATACTGTCCATCAACAATAACATTTTTTGATTGAGAGTTTGGTAACCATTTTCATATAACAATTCATGCTTTTTTATTTTAGTATGAGATTTTAAACAATACTAATATCGGTTTTTTAAATTGTTGTAATAGATGATTACTGGTCTTGAGAGATTTCTTAATTTCATACATATAACTATCAAATTTAAAACAACTAAAGTTATCTACGCCTCCGAAATGACGAACATTATGACTCAAGTGAATTAGATTATGCACATTATGATTAACATATTCGTACTCGTAAATTTGACCGAACTTTTCCACAAAATACTCTAATAGCTTTTTAGCAAAATACAAAAGTTTTTTTGCGAACATAATTCAGAATAAACTAAAATCCTCATTGGAATATGTAATGATAAGAAATGCGTAAAAAATGGTTCTTTTAAAAATGGTTTAATTACCCAAGGCCCATAATACAATAAAAATTGACGAAACTCCGTAGCTTTCCACCGTTCCAATTCTTTTAGGGATCTTGGCAACCTAGAAAACTCCTTGGGCACACGTTTTCTGTATTGGCAAATTTTTTCATTTATTGCAACTATATCTTCTTTAAAAAGTCGAATCTCCTGATTTACCTTTGTCCAAAATTCTAATAGCTTTTTCATAACCCCCAAACATACCAAATGCATATATTCAAGTGGTATATCTTGAACAACATCTAAATCTATTTGAGATAATAATGTTGGCCCTTTCCTATAATAATGGAGAATCCTCATCAGATAACTCAAAAAATTCTTGATGGGTCCTTAATGAAGAATGTCAGTCTAGAAATGCCATACGATTTTTTATGAATTCTCCCCCAACATGGCACTTAGTGCAACTATAATAGGCATTATAATTCTTTACATTTTGTGACACAAACTTTCCTTTTATTGAAAATTTAAGTCAAAATATTGCGAACGGCTACTCTTATATCGGAGGCGGTGGGAACAAGCTTTTGCTTCTGCACTTGACTAAAAAAAATGATACCCACCTATACCTTACACTGCATACCAAAGGGCGCCACTTATTTCAAAAAGATGCTAATACTTACAAAGGATAGTACAAACTGAAATAAGAAAATTTATACAAGTGTATTAATTGAATAGAAACTAAAATTAGTATAGCTATAAAATATTTTGAGAAACTGGATCAACCAATGAAACAATTCAAATACCCAAAAAAATAAGATTTATTACTTGTTAGAAATATTCGGTACCTATTCGGCACAGCAGTTATGTACATTGATATACAAGAATTATATTTAAGAAACTCTATCTTAAAACTTGTTTAAAATCAAATTATATCTTTTCAAATATTATTCAAACAATTATAATATAAAAGGAATACTTTTAGAGACGGTCTTGGTTATATTCGAATAATAAATATTTAAATTTGACTTGACTTATTACGAAGATTCATGAACCTTTTTGTTTATATATAGTTAAGGGGAAAAAGATTAAAAGCTGTATCCAAGATTGCCCTTACAGGTCAAAGATTGTAATGATATAAAAGGTTATAAATAGATGTTAAATCCGAATGATCAATTCATACAACATGATTATTTTAATAATCAAATACAGGTAAAATTTAAGCAATGCTGAAGGCAAATACTTAAAGCGTTAAAAAAATATAAAATGTAACAGAACGTTAAATTTTATAAATTAAGGGTTAAAGTAATGCTGAAGGCAAGTACTTAACCAGTTAAATGTAAAATGTTAAGAATAGTTAATTTCTTAACACACTAATGATTATTTAAAATCAAATTAATAAAATTTTAGTTTACTATAAAAAATATACTGGCCTTGTATACCAAATTAATAATAAAAAAAAGGATCTTCTTAATGATAAAAAAACATTACAGCATCCAATTTCTCCTCAGAGGGGTGCAGGGCTGAAATCTAACCGAACAGGCTGCTACTGATTACTTCGGTGACTGAACACGTAAGAAAAACTTGTGGAAAAACTTGGCGAAAAACTTCTAGACACAAGTGTAGAAAAACTGTAGAAAAACGTCTAGAAAAATGTCTAGAAATACTTGCAGAAAAATCCAAAGAAAAACGTTGAGAAAAATACGTAGAAAAATCTGTAGAAAAATCTGTAGAAAAATCTGTAGAAAAACCTAAAAAGAAATGCACGGTATTAGTTAACCTTACATTTTAAAAACTCGAAAAATTTAGGAAGGTATTAATTTACCTCATTGTGAAGGCACACAATCAATAATTATTTAACATTTCTTCTCAAATAAGGGCTGGACACTTCTCATCAAAAAACTGGAATCTAAAAGAAAGGCCAGTGAAGGTTTTTTCTAACGAATGGAATGTCAAAGAAAATCTTACCAAAACTATAGATCCATTAAAATCTCAACAATCAAAATCTATATGGGACCTACAACCATCTATAGGATAACAAAATCACAATATTTTTCCCATATTGTGAAAAATACCAGCCAAATAAATTTTATTGAAAAATGGCACAGTGTCCTCGGTAACGGCCAAATCCGAGGTGACGATTTTGACGTTGCCCGTCTTGTCAATACACCAGGGTACGATCCAATATTTTCGATAAAGAGCGTTCCGAAATTTAAGTGTTGTAGAAATGTAAAAAGAATATCGATACAATAATAAAATACCGTCTATAATAAAACAAAGTAGCATTTGGAAAATAAAAATGCTACAATTTAAAATAAAAAGGTTTAGCAGGTGTGTCACATAGAAATTTTGATATTTTAAAAATAAAAGTTTTGTTGTTAAACGTAAGGTTGCTTTCTTGCAGGCCCTTAATTTCATTTAAAAAATATTTAAGAAACTCGTTTTGTTCATCAGGTTTTTTAACTCCCTGATAAACACCAACAGGAAATGGAGGCAAACCTAAATAATTCACCAAGTATGCTAAAATTGGCCAAAACTGGCTTGCACTGCTTTTGGTTAAACTTAAACCATCAATATTAAAAGAAACATATAAGCGTGTTGTGTTAAGCTTAGGTGCAAAGTGATTTAATAACTCGGTCACTCCATTTTTTAAACCAAAATTATAATAAGACCCTGGTTTCATTCCATAAAGTATCATTTTTCCCTACTTTAAATAATGTACGATAGTCTTTCGGAACATTTTACAGAAGGTCCTCTCACAAATGGCCTAGTAGTTCATTTAATGCATTATGACTTATATGGTTTTTTATAGCTCATGAAGTAAAATTTTGAATGAATATGTTGATTTTATCAACTGTTCTACAATCAATATCTTAACCTTGTTGATCATCAGAATTAACATTTAAATCTGAATCCAAGTGTGATTTAAAAATTTGATTACAGTTATTTAAGTAATTTTGATAATAATCTGTTTTGTTGGTTACGTCCAATACATTCATCTTTGAAAAACATTTCGATAAGGAATCTAAAATAATCGTAATCTAATAATCTAATTGTTTTTTGTTTGATTGGAAACTGATGCTGATTGGGGTAGACAACTAATTTCTTTAGCATTTTTTTAACCAATCTTTTAAGGTATCCCCTTGAATAATTAGCAGTTGGCTTTTTCATTTGCTAAAGAAAATACACATTACACTACATACTTTAAATAAGTCAAAAAATTGCCCTATTTCTTTTATACTCCATTCTAATATCGACTAAATACAGGGTTGTTCACCACATACGACACGGAGTATTGTAGCTAAACGATGAGATTTTTACAAATTGTAAGTTTGGGTTTCGTTGAAGGACTATTAGAGCTACAATTTAAAAATATTTTTACAAGATACAGAGTGTCCCAAATAAATAAAAAATATCAAAGTTGTATTTTTTTAAATGGAACACCCTGTATATTATTACATTTTTAGTTTCTACGATTAAAATAAAGGTAAATTTGATTAAGATTTATTATACCTAAACCTTACCGTTTTTGAAATATTTTCAATTTTGTGAAATTGCAGTAAAAATTTTAAGGCTTCATTTCTCCAAGGGTATCAATGTTTTTAATACTAAATATTTAATGAAGTTTATTTATTGATCAGTTATTGTGTTGCAATAATAAAAATAATACTACCTTATACAGAGTGTCTAAAAATTTATTTTAAATAATTATTAGCTTCAAACGGCAATAACTTCTTTAATTTAAATGGGGCATTCCATTGGGGCAGTATATTTTAGGAGAATCAGATGCACAATTAAATTGTCTATCAAATTGTATTATACCATTTTTTACCTATCCCTTCAAGTTTTCGTAGAAAATGCATTTTCTTATAATTTAGACCTCATTTATCAATATATCCATGGAATATTGACATTTTAGATTGTTTTTAAAGCAACAAATGCACAAAATGTACAAACTAGTAATATTATCGTTTTTAGCAAAACGATAATATTACTAGCCCATTTGTATGCAAAAAGAAAACTATTTAAATCTTTATAAAAGAGTATACCATTAATTAAATATAACACCATTATTTCCGCCCAGATACTAATTAATGACATACTTAATTGTGTTCGTTAATAAATTATTATAAATAAATGTGGATTTTTGAGTCAGAAATCAATATAATAATAAGTTATCAAATTAAAGTCTTTGTTGTTATAAATAAGCATTTATTAAAAAATGAAATATCATTTTTAAGGTGTTACTTTTTATCACATGGTCTAATGCCCATATAAAATTCAGTTTTTTAGTATTTGGAGCAATTATTATTAATCAACGCAAACAGTCAGTTAATGTAGTTTGAATACTGGAATCATATTAATTGGTCCTCTTTAACAAATATTTAAACAGTTTTTTTTATATTTTAATGAAATAAACGAATTATATCGACAATATTAGTATCTGTACTCTTTAAAAATTTGGTACATCTTTAAAAATAATCTAAAATGTCAATAGTCCATGGGTATATTGATAAATAAGTTCTAAATTACAAGAAAATGCATTTTCTACGGAAACTTAAAGAGATAGGTAAAAAATGGTATAATATAATTTGATAGACAATTAAATTGTGCATCTGATTCTCGTAAAATATACAGGGTGTTCCATTTAAATTAAACAAGTTATTGCCGTTTGAAGCTAATAATTATTTAAAATAAATTTTTAGACACTCTGTATAAGGTAGTATTATTTTTATTATTGCAACGCAATAACTGATCAGTAAATAAACTTCAGTAAATATTTAGTATTAAAAACTTTGATACCCTTGGAGAAATGAAGCCTTAAAATTTTTACTGCAATTTCACAAAATTGAAAATATTTCAAAAACGGTAAGGTTTAGGTATAATAAATCTTAATCAAATTTACCTTTATTTTAATCGTAGAAACTAAAAATGTAATAATATACAGGGTGTTCCATTTAAAAAAATACAACTTTGATATTTTTTACCTATTTTGGACACTCTGTATCTTGTAAAATTATTTTTAAATTGTACCTCTAATAGTCCTTCATCGAACCCAAAACTTACAATTTGTAAAAATGTCATCGTTTAGCTACAATACCCCGTGTCGTATGTGGTGAACAACCCTGTATAACTGGAGTAAGTTAATAAAGGCAGCGACTGACTTGTACCACATTCACATGTCATGTAACATTACTTGATACACCGGATGATGTATCGATTCAAAACTCCCACCATGTAAAGTCCCATGTAAATATTAACGGTGTCAGTTATTGGTTCCTCAATTGATTTTAGAAGAAACCTTGAATGGAACTTTTTAAATTAACAGGTAAGAACAGGCTACCTATACCAACTTGTAAACTCTTCTATTAAGCCTTCTATAAGTTATTTTCAGAATTAGGTCAATAAAAAAAGTAAAGGTAGTCTACAATGCTGTGTCCTGAGCCGATGCAACACCCTGTATAACATGTGGTTACATGCCTGTTTACATGCATGTGTTCGCATGCTGCATAATAACCGAGATATTAACACATCAGATATCGAGCATTATACCAGTAAATACCATAAATATATGAATAAATATAGAAAACTGTGCTGATGCTATGTGTTCGGTATTATCAATAATGCTCGCCGCAAGCACTACATAAAAAGTTCGGCTCAGGTGAGTCACCCCCTTAAAGATAAGGGGCTTTAACTTGAACTTACATAATATAATATATATTAATCTTGCATTAAATAGCTATAGTTAAAATGAATGTGTGCGAGGATTGGGACGGTGTGTGACTCTACCTAGAATTAGTTGTAATATATCGAGACATTGTTCTGACTGTGTTGTAAATTGTGATACGATCACAGATGTGAATATAGAAGTCGAAATACAAGTAAAAATAATATGTGCTCTGAACCTTTAGCAACCTTTAGTATGGATGAATCAATAAAAATCAGTTTAAATACTGTGATATAGAGTGTTGCGTGGCGCGTAATAAAAAGTGGTGTAAGTGGCTGCCGGGAGACGGGAATATCTACTTATCATTAGAGCAGAACGTTTATTTTTCGTTAAAAAATCGTTAAATATAAAGGTATGAAAACATTTTCAAAAACATGTTTTAGAGATGTTATCAACTAAATAAAACCATAATGTTTTTTAAATGAATATATTTAAAAGGTTTTTTAAATAATGTTTTAGAAACAATTGAAAGAATCACATTTTTAAAACGTTTCCATTTAAACGGTTTTCAACAAGACATGAAAGTTGCGTAATTGAAATATTATTTTTTAAATATTGTAAAAACATTGTATAAGTATTGTTTTAAAAACAATTTTTTTTAAACATTACCATGTTAATGAAATTGAAACGTTGTATAAATGTTTTAAATTTTATGTTACCTAAATTCCATAAATACAACGTTTCAGAACATCACAAAAATGTTTTTTGCTCAGTGGAATGGACCACCTTTTGAAAAACTTTAAATGAGGCATTTATTTATATTAATCAAGCTTTGCAAAACAGTACTACATAAACATAGACTTTGGTGATATCATTGACATAGTTTAGACATTAATGTAGCATAACAAATAATTATAAAAAATACAAAACTAAAATTTTAAATTGGTCCATCTCTCCTAGACAGTATAGGACAAATGGATCAATCGACATACTCGTAGGAGAGATGGTGAATGCCTTTTTATGGTGAACGGCACCGCAGCGTTGACATGTGTTAATATAGGATGTGCAACCATCTGGAACATCGAATGCACTGTATCCAGTCCTCTTTTTTGCTAAGTAAGGCGATAGTCTTCGAGGCAGCCGACACACTGATTTTGTAAGCCATCAAAAGTTTCATCTCCACTGGACGAATCATTTAGGATTATCTCTTCGTCAGATTCTGAAGAGATAGACTCCAACCTGCGTTTCACTTTTTCTGTAGATTTCTTTTTGTGGGGCTTTTCTTTCGTTTGCGACTTTGGTTGGCGTGTTTGTTTTTGTTTCTCTTTTTTCTGGCGAATGCGAGTCATGTTCTCCGATGACGCCAAGTT